ATTCTCGGAAAATAACAAAAAAGCCGTTGCACGCGAACTGGTCGCGGCAATTACTTTGTCGCGTCATAAATCAGTAGGAAAAAATTGGCGTTCATGCAAATCGATATCAGCGAGAGCGCCGAATATCGTTCACCTCTCGAGGCATCGGGAAACGAGAGCGAGTTATTCCGAGTGGCAATGGTTATTACCCCACCCTATATATCGAAGGGAATATATACCCCTCGAGCAGCAGCAGCAACAGCAGCAGCAGCAGCAGCACCGATCGAGTCACGTATGTCGATGATACGGGAGCACGTGCACCGGTGTTGGTGTCCACACCGGCGAATCTCGATCTTGGCACGTACGAGCTAACGACTCGTTCGTACGAGTCTCTGATCAAATAACCACGACCCGAACAACTTTCTCGGCCGGATCTACATCTACCTGACGAAAAGGCACGTTCACCAGCGCAAACCGTGGATGAGCAAGTATCACGGAAGCTTCTCTATGATTCGTGTTATACCGTCACGTTTAGAATTAGAATATCTCTCGGTCGCATTAGAAAACAAATGTTCATCTAATTGTAAAACTTCGCAAAAACAGAAAAATGAATGGTTTAACGATGTTCTCATCGATCAACAGCTACTCCCCAGAATATGCAGCAACGAATCGATATGCATAAAAAGAATTGATTGAACGAGCCGTTATTACGATTCTAATTCCGTTCGATTGAACCGAACGCTTTGTAACTGTTCGCGAAGATTTATACGTAAAATTTATCGTCGACGTCTAATATTAGTCTGGAAACGGTTCTGCGTCGTAGGAACTGGCCCATGCATGGAATGCTGTAGAAATTCGATCGCGAGGTTGTCAACCCGGTCGATGTGACCGCGAAAAGAGAGATCGCTTCCGCTCGAGCGAGAATCATCGATACATCTCGAAGGATACCGCCTCCTTTGTTACTCGACTTCTCAGCGTCATTTTCTAAGGGGATCTCGACCGCCTCGTCCAATTTCCTATTAATATATCAATACGTTCGATACGTTCTCGAGTATACGTATATGATGTATGAAATCTGCTGCACAATGACGCTTTTAGCATCGTGTAACTTTCTATATTTAACTGATCTCGAAGTCACCATCAGCGTTTTGCATACTGAGGGATCTCGAGAAAAATGAGCCCCACCTACTATAGAGATGCAAGTGGAGCAGCGAGCGTAGCTGGAAATCGATCATTAGATCTCCGAGTAACAAGAGATAAGAGTTAGCCGGTGCGCCGTTAGCTCGGAGCAGCGAGCAGTATCGTCCAGGACACAGTATCCAGGATCGATCCAGGACGTGCAACGGGAGCCGTCGAGGGAACGGGAGCGTATCGAGAGATGCGGCGTCGATAATCCTTCAGGGTAGGTCGGCGTGCATCCCGCGCGCTCGACGCGCGAGTTCAGGCGAGGCTACTCGGGATCAGAAGCAGCAACGGCAGCATCGTAAGAAGAAGAGGAGGAGGAGGAGGAGGAGGAAAGGAACGGGGAGAAGTTATCTGTTCCTCTTTCTCCGTCTGACGCCGGTATCCGCTTCTCTTCCTCTCCCTTAACCTCTGGCTCGCTTCCACGGCCGCCTCCGACCTACGTGTAGATGCTCAGGTGTAAAACCGTTGATTGCCACGCCAGTATTTTCTCTTTGCACGATGCGATGGTAGCAACGGTGGGCGTGCCGGCCACGACCGAAGGGAGACGGCCAAGGCCTCTCTCTCCTCTCATCGTGCTACCGCGATTATGTTTATTATACTTTGGCACACGCGTGTGCGTACGTGCGAGTACGCGCATCTGGTATCGCCTATCACCGAGCCGAGAGCATCGAACGTGACGCCGTGTCGGTTTATAATTCAGGCCCGAACACCTTCTTCAGGCTCTGATAAATTTCAGAAGCCTTTCACGTAAATGCTAGTTCATTTTTCGAGCTGATCGTCAGGGGGGCGGGGTGATATTCAGTTTCGATCGGTTCCGTCGGGTTGTCGAGGAACCAACCTTTCGGAGGATTCAAGGTCTTCATAAAAGTTGGCCTTCGATATCTAAATTTTATGTCATTTTTTATCCAACATTCAACACGGTCTTGAATATTCATTTCACATTTCGACGCAAATATATATTACTCGATTTTTAATTATGACGTCGCTTGAACCTCACGAAGCAAATAAACAAATCAGGCTGATTCGATGTTTATGCGGTTGTATAGTAGGTAATGAAATTCTCAGGTTCCTATTTGAGCACACCTTCTCGATTATACCTGTAAAGTGCAGCTCGTTACAAAGAGAGCTGATCGAATCGATACACGCGCGTGGAGGATCGACGCATCATTATCAATGAGGCTCATGCCACGAGCACGCATCGGACGCGGAGGATGAGGCCGACTCAGGATTCCACCGAGGTGGAGCCTTGACATTTCGTGGCCTGGAATCGACTGGCATAATCGATCGGCGGCTCCCATCTGACAAACGACCGTGCTATGCATTGCGTCTGGTACGCGTACGACCTCGTCGACCGGTGGAACGCGGTCGCCACTTGGACTAGATACCGTTTCTGTTTCATAAATAATTAAATCTACTCTCGATGTTCCATTTTTAAGACTAAGGAACGTGTCATGTATTTCAATGCTACGTGCGATATTTGTTTTCTATCAATGTATAATATCCGGTCAATAAATCGTCTGATTCACGATTTCGATCAATTAAATGAGCGAACCTACAATTCCCGAAGTCCGTCCCGTCTTTCCTCTCGATTCGACGAAACATCTGTCCCCCCATTTACGACAACGTGGACGTGACCAATTTTAGTGAGATCGTCAAACCGGGTAGCATTACCGCTTAGAAACCAAGCCTATAGGATCGTTGAACCGCGAACGTTGCCACCGTTCAGCGAAACGACCGCGAATAAATCGCGTCTGCGTAGCCAACCGCTACTTTCATAAATTACACCGTCCCCGGCATCGATGTTCCGTGACGCCAAAAAGTTACAGCTATCGACGCGGCTATCGATAACTCCGTCGTCGGTGGCTAGTGCGACACACCGCCGCGCCGGACGTATCCTCGCCTGTAGACTTTCCATAAATTGGACACGGTAGACGCGCCAATAAATCCGGGGGCGACCGTGCCCCCGGGAAACCATCGACCGACGCAAAGAGAAAAGAACGAGGGAAAAATAGCAACGAGCTATACCCGTCATTATCGCGAACGGTCGCCGCAATCGCTTCTGGGTAACCCGTTTGCATCACGCATTCCCGGCTATAAACGTTAAAATAAAAATTCGTAGAACGTTTTTCCCATAATCGTCGATGCCGATCTTTGACACGATAATTCATATATTAATTGATACATTTCGTTCATACCCCGACTGTTACACCGACCATTGTACGAAACGCGACGCTGGCGTAACGTCGCGTCGTTAACGTCGTCCGAAGCGAAAGGGAACGATGCGTTGCGCCAATAACGACGGCCGGGGCGCACTAAAAATTTTATAGCGTCGCGCGTATACGTCAGACGGGGTACGAGCGACGGTGGCGAAACCCTGTTTAACAAAGTAATGACTACAATTACTCCTGCTTTACATCTGCCTCGCGGAGCGAGCCGCGATCGCAGACCGTGCAATTTACCGCGGATAATCGTCGATCAACGAGAGTTACTGCCGGGAATCGTCAGCTACGTTCAAACGTTATTTCTTTTCACTTTGCCTCAGCGATGCGCGAGACGTTCATTATTGGACCCCCAATTTCTTCGCCAAGAACGTCTCGTACAGTTGAATTTTTTTAACACGAGATTTTCAGTACGACGTAATTACGATCGTGTTATTTTATCGGTTATTTATTACTCTGTGAATAAGAAAAATTCAATCGCTTTTCATTTCTAAGAAGGAGACTCCCTGTAACGTCGACTTGACCCAAGTGGTCAATTTACTCAATTAAAACGGGTAAAAGTAGATTGCGAACAGGAAAAACGAGAGGACAACGAGATCCGTCATCGAAGTAGCCGGGCAGAGAGGTGGGTTTGCGTGCAAGCGGGACATATCGTCTTCCTCGTGAGATAACAAAGCATTCCGATCCTTGGCTGGCTCGGAACGGCTGCTGGCCGGCCGGCAGGCCGCGGGTCTTGCATATAGGAAAAGTTGCTCGCGTGGTTCGTGTCGTGGCTCGTTCAATTTACATAAACACGTACTCATTGATTGCCGGACCAGATTGTCCGCCGTTATTACTTCTACGACCGGTTAACTCCTGGACCGCGAATAATCGCCTGGCCCTAATCGTTTCGCTACGCACGGACCTAGCACCCGAATCGATACCGGCCGAAAGGACAGTACGGGACCGCTTTATTCTCGGTCCGTCGTACACGTTCAACTCGCGAGACAATATCGTTGTAAATTCTTCAATCGTTCCCATTTTATGTACCGGTTTTTTACTTTTCAATTCGCGTCGTGACTGGATGATCACACAATAATTGTTTAGAATAGCATTCCCCCGAGGGACTTCAGTGACCTCATTACGATGATCCCGAGATTAACTGAATAATTTTGCATCGAGTATACTTACGTACATGCATAACCATTATTTTCGAATTTCAGAAGCGTACGTAACAACCAACTTCATTAATGAAATGAACAATTGCTTCCACGCTTCGAAGTAAAATGAGAAGGTCGCAGGTCTTAGATATTTGCATGTAAAGGAATTGAGGATGCAAACTTCGATGCTAAGACTTTTAAGGTTGTATGAAACATTGCATAAAAACAATCACAAAGCATTGAAATTTTAATAGTCGCTAGATATTACATTAATAAAACACTGTATTTCTTATGACCGAGGAAAACAGGTCGAACAATTTTATAAACCTTACTCCTCTTTTAAAGGTTCATTGCTCCAAATATTGGACACAGCTTTTTATTACATGTCTTGAACTCTTGGCAGAGATCACGGTTCATACAACTTTAATTAAACCGCGAACGTTCGATTGCGATTGAAAGTTAGATGAAAATCACTCACCGAACTGACAAGTGAACGAAGCAGCGGCATCAGGAAATCCGTTCTTCTCTGAACCTGAAACAAAAAGAAAAATGGGACGATCAGATCGAGGAATCGATAGCGGATTAAACGTGGATAAACGGGAGGAACGAAGAAACGCAGATGCGGGCACCACCCACGACGTAACCTTCCCTTTTCCTTTGGCATCGTTAAAGGGACCGCTCCAGATGTCGCGGATCGAAGGACTCGCGCGGACTCAATGGGAAGATTTTAATCAAATCGATTCGAGCAGAGATTCGATCGAGATCCGTGGGACCCACGTTCCATTGTTCAACGATGCGGATCCCTCGTGTGTGCGTTAATGGACGTATTGTGCAAATATTATATTGAATGATTCAACGATAGAACGGTTTAATCGTATGCACGGTCGACGATATTCCAGTATTGTCTCGAGATTAGTATAATGTCAATCGAGCCAGATGAATGGATGCTCCTACGCGTGCATTCATAATGATGCTTAATAATAACTTTGTTTGCAAAGAAGAGAACGTTCGAAAGAAACCCGTGATTAATCGATATGGAAATAACGTACCGATGGCTATAATAGATTTCGAGATTTTAAGAGCAACGTAATGAACGACTACGACGACTTCTACGACTCGAGGCACGGAATTAAAGTATAAACAGGAAGGAAATTTCTAAGGTGGCTCGACGATTCGTCAAGTTGAAACGCGCTAGAGGGGGTAGCAATTCCAATCACCCGGGGATGGAACGCGTATCGATCTATCGATCGGCGAATACCGCGTGTTCCGCGAGTGCAGCTGTAGGTGGTAGCCGGTGAACACCACCCACGAAGTGACTACTTAGCATGCACGACCAGGTAGAAGGTAGCTGCTACCTACCTATCTGACAAGGTTAACTAATACAGCTTCCCTGCGCGAGTATCCCTTGATTAGAACCGTCCTGATAAATCGACAGAGGCGATTTCTATCTGGCTGCGCGACATTTTTGCAGAACAGGATTTTGCTTAATGTAACTAAATTACATTATATTTTACAGAGATTGCGATATGTGCCAGAACTCGATAGTACAAGTTTCACTACCTCGCATTCTTATTGATATTAGTAAATTGACTATCGGTATTAAAAGTGATCGAATGAAACTCCAGTCGTTTAGCGACGTTTACACGCGAGCGCAATGCATTATCGTCTCTGAACAATTTACGCAACGCGTGCAACTACCAGCGGAGCAATTAAATCAGTGCGCTGTCTTAACAGAGGCGGGCTGTCGCTGGGATCGATTTAATTGGTATCCAGACGGAAGTACACGTGCATTATTCCACGGTTGGCAGACCGGCGCAGACGTCAAAACGTTGGAAATGAGAAAACCTCGCAGCGGGACACCTGCTACCGAGCTTTCCTTAGCCACGGACTTTTTCTTCGTCCACGCGCTCGCGAACGGATCGCGAGCCGGCACTTCCAGCGGACGCGCAGCATGGGGTGGCTCCGCGCGAGCTCTGCACGCCAATGAAATTGCGCGATTACTTGTTTTCTTGGTGTTTCAACGTCCACAGTCGGCGGAACGCCGATATATTAAGTCATAAATTTACGAATAAGGACGAGTCGAGAATGTGCGGTTCGTGATTTGCAAAATTTCTTCTTCAACCAATTTTGTCATGCTTCGAAGAATATATTAATTATACCAATTTTCTACTGCTGTATTTTCATCACGAGATACCCGATGAGTATTTCAATATATCCTGTCATCTTCGATCGTTACGTAAATTCCTCAATATTCAAAACACTTTAGATTTAATTATTTTATATACTCGTAAGAAACTGATGCTTCTCTGTGAGCTCATATTATTTTTCTCCCTCCCCTACCTCATCTACAGCCCCTACTTCCCTCAAACAAGTATCGTCAAAAATCTAAGCATACCAAACGTGTTCTACGAATCCAAAAGAATCACCTCAGCAACTTTGTCTACAAATAGTTAAAACAGGAAGCTGGAAGGAATGTTCAGCTTCCGAGGCAAACAGTAATGTTGCGCAATATCGAGGCGGGACCCGGGAAAAAGAGCAGCGGAATTGAAACCAGGAACGCGGACACGGGTTTCCCTGCGTTCCCTTTTGTCGTAACCTCGGCTCTCGGTATCGGCGGCGTTCCCTGCGGCCGCGTTCCTTTATCGCGACGGTTTTGCCACTTTGCCGCTAGCGAGCGAACGCGCAGTTACCCGCGGATCATAAAACACGTCGTAACTGTACTATTTTGCGCGATCCGCCCGATAACCGCGCGTTCGCCACGGAGAGGCGTGTCGTTCTCAGGGATGGGATCAAACGTTTCCATCCCTCGAACTACCTTTCACCTTTCATTCAAAAAACCACGTTCTATTTCTGTCCAGTCATTGGTCATTAAAAGACAGTCAGAAAACTGATTAAACTTTATTTGGATACAATTTAATGTTCATTACTTAAATCGTACGAAGAAAGGATTGAATTTCCGTGTCAATAAATACGATCACTCTGACTAAAAAGACTGAAAAGTACTGTAAAGTTCTTTTTCTAGGAAACGCTCGCAAAGTAATTGAAACGCGTTTACTCTTAAGCGACATTCCACTTCGTGAAATGGAATGTAATTTTGCTTCCTTTAAGAGGCACTCTACTTGCGAGCCACTCGATCACGTTACTACATGCTCTCCGCATGCAGAACGGGCTACCGTCTTTCGCGTTAGAGCAACACACCGTAATGGGCCCTTCTGGCCTAAGAATCAGATGTTTTCAGAAATCCGTGCGGTCGAAATGATCCGCTCGGCTCGTTCGATCGAACAGGGACGACCTTCGTCGGTAAACGAAGCCGTTTTTGTATGTTAAATGCGTAGAACGTGTTTGCCGTACGCGACCAACAGAACCGATCCAGAAATGTTTGAAACGCGATTTCCTGCAAGAACTATAGCGCGCCTCAATGCCTGTTCAAATTACGTGATTTGTTTTGTGAACGCAAATCCAATTGAGCGACGTTCGTTTCAGGACATAGACTCGCGGTTTCGCTGAGCAAAATGATTCTACGTTTCCATGCGAGAGCGATTTCTTACCGCAGAAGAAAGTACTCGCGGTATCGATCGGTATAAAAAACGATCACAAATGTCTTTTTCAGAAAAATTGCATTTTAATATACCCATCAAAAAGACAGATTTCAGTATGAATGATATGCTATCAGTTTTTAATATTCCAACCGCATCTATTAATAACCTGGTTATTAATCGTGTCAAAGATCGAACGTTACAAGTGTGGAAGAAAAACGAAATTGTCTGATCTTTTCGTTTTTCAGCAAAGAGGAAGGACGTTGAGGATCTCAGGCGAAACTGAAACAGAAGCTTTAGAAAGTAGAAAGTCTCGGCAGGTGAACATATTTCACTCGGTAAAAAATCTGGTACTTCAGGATGAACTGGCTAAAGCGTGAAGCGAACTATCCGCGCATTTCTGTGTGCCGGCTGACCATGAAGAAGCGAATCGAGCAGCGCTTCGCGGCCCGATCGTTCCTTATCCTGTAAATTTCAAACTGTGACTCAGAGAAGCCTGTACAGTTACGAAGGCGTAACGTAACAGTTTTCGTGGGATAAAAACGGCGAGGAATTCCGAAAGAAACCATGCAAAATACGTCGCAACACCTAACCGGCTGTCCGTCAAGGCGAGCGAGAGGGGAAAAAACGCGTGAACTTTGCTGCCGCTGCTGCTGCTGCTCCCGCGGAAAGCAACAATGAATCGTAGAATTCCAGGCTAAATCAATTCGCGACTGTTGAAGCGTGACTCGAATACTGTAATTGCGATAAAAGGAATCCGGGGAAAAAGAAGCCGCGAAGTTCATGATAATTGCCAGAAACTATTCGAATGTGCCATTCGCGCCGGTGGGTGTGTCGAATACTTCATGCATTTCAGTGGCGAGGCAATTTAATACGAACGCAACAGAATTTTTATTGTCATTAAGTTATTAATTAAAACATTTTCCATCGTATTCGATTAAAATTCGAACTGCGACTGCATGGAATGATTGTTGGAATCATGGAAAAGGAAAGGATCGCCTTTCACCGAAACAGCTGAATTTAAATTCCGGTGGAGAAGCCTCGTTTACAATTTCGATGGAACAGACTCGTTATTTATCGGTATTGTTGCTGTGAACTGAGGCACGTCTGGAGTGGCCCGTTCGCCAAATGAAACGCGACCTGTGAACCCGGCCGAGAGCAGCGTTGGCTCGGGAGGTCGTGTTCGTGAATGAAGAGCGACTCGTTAGTCGCAATAGTCGCGGGTGATGGATGGAGGGATCCGAGGGGCTTCCTGGTGGACTGAAAGGAGCAGCGAGAGGAACGAGCACGTGGCGTGGGAGTTCGCGGGGATCGAGCGAAGGGGACCAAGGTGTACGCGTTGTGGGCGGACCACGAAGGTGGTGGAGGTTCAGGAGGCGGCGTTGGTAGGGGCCTTGTAACACCAGGACCTACCGAAGCTCGCTCGATTCCCCGCTTTAAACAGATTGCTTCAACGAGATGTTCATCTCGGTGCCTCTACTCATTTCCAGACTGCCGATTCATACGCGGAGCGAAGTAGGGTCAGAGAGACAGATTCCTTCTACTTATTAAATACTAAATGAATTATTTAAGGAAGCTATTATCATACGTGGAAGTATCAAATTCTGATGAATTTCGTAGCATCAAGTATTGCACGCTCGGACTATTAATTTGCATAAGAAAATAAAAATTCCCAACGAATATGGATAGTTTTCAATAAAAATCCTCTGGATTTCCTATTTAGAAACGTGCACAGCAAAGTGGTTTAAATGTAGACATGTTACCGCGGCTGAACGTGTACTTTACGATATGTAAAACATTATTTAACTGCTCATTAGTCTCATCTCTTACTTGACCAGAGATCTACCGCAATAAACATCGTACATGATAATTATTAGATCCTAGTCAGCAATTATTATCCTGTTTCTATAGAGCGTACATGTAAAAAAAGAATAGGCTGCGGCAAGAAAGTGCAACGAGTCGAATCACTTTCTCCGACTGTGCCCTTTGCATGCCG